GACTGACATATCACATAGTTGCACAGTTAACTTCCTGAACTTCAAGGGCCAGATGTCACAGGGTTAGCTACTGTGATTCCTTGCGATCTTGCTGCGGCACGAAAAGTGCCAAAACGCATAATCGCACAGGCCCGCCTGGTGCGTTCCAGCCTGGATTTGTTTAGCTAGAAGCACTTGTCGAAAAAACCGATGCCGGTAGCGACAAAAACTGCAGGGAACTATGCAAAAAACGCATCTTAATGCGGGCAGCCCGTGCGTTGGCCAAATATTTCTTTATGTTGCGCGTGCGGGGTCTCTGCCACGGTATTGCACTGAGTATGGGTGGCTGAGTACTTATAAGTGGACCGAGTAACAGTGGCAGCAGGGTGTCGAAATTGTTTGCATTCCATACTTCATTTCGATGAGACAGTTTCTTCATCAAGACTGTCTGGACTTTCATTGTGGAGCCTTCGATGCTGCTGAGTTGCTGTCACAAATTCAAAGCAGCTATTTCAGCAGACTTGATGTGTGACCACTGGCCAATTCTACAATTTTATGCAAACTTGCGTAGATGTCGATGAGCACAATCAAACTCATTTTAAGCCAGTGAATATTTTAGGAACAATATCGAATGCTACTCCCGGTGGGAATCTTATGGCCGATATGGTCGCACAAAACTTTCTGGGGCAGCAGATGACGCAACTCATGAATCAAGCTTTAGGTGGGTTTCCAGTGCAGTTGCTAATGGCCAAATGAGTTCGGGCTACGGTCTGTTTTATGCGTTTTTGCATTTGTGCAACATGAAGATGCATTAAGGTAATGCCATGTCTGGGTGCATGTGTCTCACCGGATAATTCAACCTTCAGTTTGGGAAAGCAAAGAAGCTTGAAATTCGAAAATAATACTGGGAACCAGAAAGCATCTGACACTTCTTGCATCCCGACCTGTTATAGTTCGACAACCAAGGAAACCACAATTGGGGAATTTTGGAAGATTAATTTTTTTCCCAGTCCAGGGTAAATAAAAATCTTAGATCTGTTTCTAATCTTCACTGTAGCCTTAATTATGACTTCATTTTTAACTTCAGGCTAGTTTTATATGAAAGTATTAAAGCTGCAAGCTGGAAATTTTGAGAGATTCATTCTTTTTGCAGTTTGAAACAGGCAGGTCTCAGTCCTCAGTGTGCCCTGATCTGCAACCTCAGCTTCAAGTTCAGGCTGGCTTTGTAAATCGATAACCAAGAAAGTTAAAACTTTGACAGACAAATCTGCTTGTTGAAGCAAGC